ATATATATATATATATATATATATATATATATATATATATATATATAGTAATTGAGATATTTTATCTACATAAAAAAAATATAATAAATTTTAAAAAGACATTTGAAAAACTAAACAATCTAGACACGAAAGCAAAATTGTAAAATTATTGATGAAATAAAAAAGGCTATGATTTACCAGCTCCTTGCCAAAAAGTAAATGGTGGGTTATTTTGATTCCCTTCCAAGTTCAAATCTAATAAAATCCCCTTCTCACTCGATAAAATTAGTGAAGTATGAACCTAAAATCTAAAAATTAGAAAACAAAATTTATTTCTATATTGTCACTTACTTTGATGTCATGGAGATCATTCTATTAAAAACATCATACTATAATACTTACTAAATTGAATCCAAAGAGAGCATAAATTGATAACTTTCATAAATGCAAAATTCAAGGTGATACAATAACTTATTTATCAGAATAACATTGAAATCTCCCTAGAAGTAAAATCCTGCTAGCCCAAATTTGGATGAAACCAAACCATTTACATGTAAGGAGAAAAATCATTTACACTTGAAATGGATAGCTAAGAAACCAAAACAGATCTAAGTCCACTGAAATACTAAACTTTCGGCAAGTCTCAAGCAACCTGGTTCATTGGCATGCATGCTGGGTTTACCAACTTTGATTCGCACTTAGATTATTCCCAACAATGCATGAGTTGAGTTCAGGGCTGAACTTAGTACTGATAAACATGATGAGGAGGAGATGGAGGATGGTATTGGTAGTAATAACCTGGTGGATACTCATTATATGGAGGTGGTGGAAAGGCTAGGGAGGGTTCATGTAAATGATGATTGGGTGGGATTAGATCAGGCAAATGATGGGGTAGGGAGGGTTCAGGCAAATGATGGGGAGGTGATGATGATTCAGGCAAATGATGGGATGGTGGAGATTGTAGATGCAAATGATAGGGTGGGGATGGTTCATGCAAATGATGGGGTGGAGATGGTAGATGCAGATGATGGGCTGGTAATGATTGATGCAGATGATGGGGTGGGGAGGGTGAACTAGGCTCACTCGATGGAGAACTAGCAGCAGCAACATTGGTTTGATGTTTATCTACTCTGACTTCAATCAATTCCTCTTCTTCAACCTCAAATGACCTGAAGATTGGATGCAAGTAAGCATCGGCCAAATAAGCCTTTATGTTCAAGTCAGGTTCTGTGCTCTTCTCCAACATATCCTTTGACATTGCTTCCTGAATAGATCAAGAGAAATCAGTTTTCATGCAACCATCTTAAGTGTCATGTAGCCAACTTCGGAGAAGAACAAAAGGAAGTTTAGTGTAGAGAATTCTACACTATTCCAAAGGTTTTGCATGGTGCATATCTTACCTCAATAGGGTACTTCCGAAATGCTGGCTCAAAACGTCTCTGGCAATACTTGTGGAATGCAAATGTCAATATTGGTAATATAACAAGCAAAGGTGTGGATTTAGCTGCCTTTTTGGTGCTAAGCAATCCCAACAGAAGAAACTGGGATATTAGCATGCTTGCAATGATGCGGCTGTGAACTAGTGGCCAAAATGCAGCAGCACTTTCATACTGTTGGTTGTAGACATTGATTATCTGCATAGTTAAACATCATGTGAAGTTATATTTAGATTACACATCACCACATCCTGTTTCATTGAATTGACACACAAAAATGTTACAAGCTCATGAGCAATATGCCCTCGTACAAATTACATGAAACATGCTTGTTCTAGAAATTATGCTATGGTTCTAAGAAATCTTCAAGCTACTGTAAGTCCAATTAGCAAAACAAGGCATGTTTTAAGATCACACTAGCAGAGACACTGACCTGATGACGATAAACCAAATATGCAAAGGCAAAGAAGACTAGTATGAAGGGAAGAAGGATTGGTGTCACCACAGCGTACACAATTCCAAGAAGGAAGTATAGTTGAAGACTTGGAATAGTCTCTGGAAAGTCCACACTCCCAGGGTTCATGGCCTTTCCTCTATCTCTTTCTGTTTTAACTATGAACATGTTCTTGAGATGGTATATAACCAATGGCTTTAATCTTAGAATCTCACCAGCAATTCCAGCCCAGCCATCAACCATTATGTATGTTATAAAGAAAGTAGCCTTCATTGGAATGGAAACTCCAATTGTTCTAGGAATCCTATAGACAATAACAAGATTTATCAGACAGTGTAAGATTTAATAATGTTACAAAAAGTTATTGTATTTATTGCATTAAATATATGAAACTGGAACGTTGCTGCAAGATTAAAACAGATCTAACACAATATATAGCCAGTCAGACATTGCTTTAACTCAAAACTGCTCAATTAAAGACATACTGTGTAGGTGACTGGTGCAGGAAAGCATGCAGTTGTTGAAATGCAGTCCCAGTGACTATGCTTCCCAAGAAAACATTCACCAGCATAAAGTAATAATATTTTGCAGCTGTCTTCCGCTCAAGTGTTGACAGTGCAATATATCCCTCAATTTTTGACATGATCATCAGAACCGTTGGTAGAATGTACAAAAATACTTTAAGAGCCAAACCAGGAAGAAAACCTTGAAGAAAGGACTTGATGAAATTGCTGTCAAAAGCCAAAAAATCTCTGTTAAGCTAACAACAAGACATTTGAGCCAGTAAAGTATACAGTTTACCATATATTTTAATTTTACTACTGAAAATTCATCGAAACAGAATAAATGAAGAAAATAGTGTATAAAAAAGATAGTTGAATTTACAAAACCAAATAAGATAAATCAATCTCTTTAGTGATTTCTAAAATAGAAGATAACGAATATGTGCTTTGCGCTAAGGTAAAATAGTCAATTCTAATGCCTTCCAGACATTTGCATCCTTTATTACTCCAGTCCTGATTAATTCCAAAAACCTAAACTAACAAATCAAGATTGAGCATTATATATTCTACCAAAGAAGCCAAAACAGTTAATGAAGAAATTCTATAACAATGTATATCAACTTCTAGATTAATTACCTTCTCTATTTACATTCAAAAAGAAACTTAAGTTCACTTACAATTCTATAACTGGTCTGAGGAAAGGAGCAACTTTTTCAAGACCGTCCAAATTGGCAAGGGATTGCACAAAAGCAATGGGAATCATGTAGAAGAATACCAAGGCAAACACAGACAATGATATTACAAGCCTCCTGATGCTTAAAGAAACAAATGGTATGGCCAAGTTCCGCCAGTATACATCACGTGGCTCTGGAGCCCAATCAGTTAGCCAAAGAGTTGGATTCTTGCTTTGTTGGGTTTGTGCACAAACTGATGCTCCCCAACGGGAATTGAATGAAAGAAAAGCAACTGGTAAAATAGCTTTGGGATCTTTTATAATTTTCTGGCGTTCCAATGTCATCTGCATATGGTATGCAGTATAGCTATATTAAAGTATCTCAATTTCAATAGTGAATGCATGTGTATTAGCTTAAGGACACAGAAAATTACCATGTACATAGTTCAAAATCAAAAAAGGAAAAACCTGATAAAGGTAATATGCCACAGAAAAGAGAAACAAACCCAACTTACCACGTTATCAAGTTCCTTAATTGCATGTTTGTAGTACTCAACAGCATCAAATTTTCAACCCCAAAGACCAAAAAGTCCAGTCTAAAGGGAAAAATAACAATGTCAGATTCAGGTTCCAACCAAACAAATTATTTGTCACATTGTACCACTTACATTCTTAGCAATTACATACCTTGACAGTGGACCTCTTGCCAGGATGTCTCTCAGACTTAAGCTGGTAATAGTCCAACCAATTTTGGAGTCTTTCTCTTCTTTTTGCAAGTTTAGCAAATTTGTTTGCATTGTAGACAGCCTGAATAAAATGAGTGCATAACAATATGAATCATTTAATGTAAAGAAATATATTCTGCTGAGTTAAAATAAATCAACATTAACATGTATAAATTCCCTTATCAGTTTATCTTTAATAAACTTCGCCAATTAAGAATGTAATTAAAATGATTACCTGGTGTCCAATATAATGATCTGGGTGGTTTGTTTTAAAGAAGCCCTCCACAGAATCTGATACTGCGTGACCAGGCATGTGAGGGATATTCCTGACAACTACCTGTAAGAAGAATGCAAACCATGAAGATTTGAAAAGATGGTTAAAGAAAACTAGAGGAGATAAGCATTCATAGGTGTGACAATACAAGCTGAAAAGTATTCTATTCTAAAACCATAGCATCTTGGCTATTAAGAATTCAGTGTAAGCATCAACCCCATACAAGCCACATTTTTCAAGTACCAAGAATGGATTCAAAGCTAGAAACTGAAAATTAGCTCCTTGAAAAGAATGACAAAGAAGCACAGCCAGAGTTGCATCTTCTCCATGATCTTATTCTCACAAGCCTAATGAAAAACTCGGGAAATGCAAGTAATTCTATTTACAAACTGTCTAAGGATACTTGGAGCATTTTAAGCAGCATTCATAATGTGAGAATGGGCCCAATGAATTCTTTGCTAACTAGTAAAAGATAAACTGATGAAATGAACAATCCAAGCCTTACCATAATACATAAAAAAAAAATAAAAAAGGATCAGACACTTCACTGCAATTGAAAAATGGTGAGGACTGAAGAGCTCTAAGAAATGCTTTCTAACAATAACAAACAATCTCAATTTTATTCCACCCGATGAAAAATGAATTAAGATTTTTAACTTACTGTGAATTGCTCCACACGCCTGCGTTGTGATGCCATGAAATGCAATCTCATTGTTGCGACATAATCATATTCTTTGTACAGCAGAAAACAAATCCATAATGTGAACAGGTATTCCAATGCTATGTGAACAAAAAATCTGAAATTTATAATTCCAGCCGTTAGCTAATTGATAACACAAAATTACTATCGTGACAATGTAATGTAGGTTGCAATACACATAAAAATAAACAATACAAGATTTAACCAAAACAAGAGAGACAGAGAGATGAAAAGAAAATATTTAAATAGAGGATATTAGATATCAGGAATTGAATACGATTCCTTTTCAATGGAACCTTTATGGGTTAGTTGTCATGACACTAGTTAACCAGACATTGCAAAAATTTATATCTATTTTGTTTCACTGGCATATGATTAAAAAAATGAACTCTTTGATGAAAGAAAATTAAACTGTAGCTAGATACGTCTGAAATCTGTTTTAAAACATGGATCATAATAGATCAGCATTACAAATTACTTGAGACGATAAATAGTAGTACACCATGCCTGATTGATATCTCATGATTTCTTGAAGATATATGTAAAAATTTCCTTAGAAGAATTATTGAAATGATTTTCACAAACAGTTAAACTCAGTCTTCTGGTTTGCTGTCACACCATGTATCCTGAGACAAAATAAGATATATGCCACAATTATATTTTTCTCAATAAAACTTTAATCCTTGGGTGATGCGAGTAGTTAAAGTCAAGAGAAGAAAACACAAAACTTGGACCTCAAGCGAAGCATTACTTCATAAAGAAAGTTCTGAATTATTTGTTTAATTTTTAGGGGGAGTTTAAGGAAACATACCTTATAGATTCAGTAGGAACATTTGATATTGAGAGTTTATCAATATCACTCACTACCAATTCCTTCTTCAGGAAAAATAACGTTCCACTTGATACGTTGACTGGTATAAGAATGAGGAGCGCCACAATTGTGATTGGAACAAAAATCTTCAAGCTGAAAAGAAAGAGATAAAAATTAGTCAGATTACTAGTAACCCAGTACAGTAATTTCGACATTAACAAGAAGTTGAAAAGGAGACGCTTATCTCTCTTTTCACGATCTGAAAGTCATGCCTCCAAAGTTCACATCAAAAGATTACATTCATAAATACGATAGACAGAAAAAAAGGTGCATCTTTCACATGCAACAGATAAAAGTTGACAGAAAACAGAAACAGAGAGAGGAGCACAAGGACAAGTGGAAAACGTAGAAAATTGGACAACACCGTAGAAGGTGAAGCTTCCACGGAAGAGATTTAACAAAAGCTGGCAAAACCAAAAAGAAAGTTGACAACCACACGGCATAACTCTAGAATCTATTTGATAATCAAACGCATGGAAATACAAATTCAATCAACAACCGAATGCTTAACATTTTTCGAAGAAGAGCAATTTTCCAAACATAGTTGCCGCGCAGCAACAATGCATCGCAACAATTCCCCAGCAAAAAAAATTACAATTCCCAGAAACACAACAGCATGTCAGTTCAGTCTCTTTTTTTCCAATGATAAAAATAAATGTAAAAAAAGTAGTCAGTGTCTTGATTTGACTAAAGTTTAAAACTTTTGCATTAAGATGATAAAAAAAAGGAACAAATTGCAAGCATGGTCGCCGCACGATAATCCATCACATCAATCACACAATTCACAGAATTTGGCACATTGAATTAAAAAAAAAATACAGAGTATGCTTACAAATACAATCTTCTACGATGGATAAGGAAAAAAAATGGTAATTTTATTGAGTTGAGCTGAAAGCAGCAAGTGCTTGTTGAAAACAAACAACACAAAAATGGAGTCAACAGTAGAGACGAAAGAGACGTGGTTAATATTTAAAGGAAAAGTGAAAGCTGATGAGAATGGTGTAAAAGGAGAGAGGAGTACCCCAGAGTGTAGATTCTAAGGAAAGCAGCAGAGTCAAGGCCAGCATGGCTAATAATCTCAGACTCACTCATTCTGAGAGCCTGTGGCATCCAATTCAGGAAGGTAAGGTAAGTCTTGAAATTGAGGTTCACAAACTTGCCCACAAAATTCCCAGAACTCCTAGGACTACTTCTCCCTCCACTGAGATACCACTTGGGAAAGTAGACCCTATCATTGATGGGTTGAATTCTCAGCAGAGCAAAAGCCAGCAAGAAAGCAAAGGCCGAGAGAATGTTGATGGTAGCTGAGACACCAATGTCTGCAAGGGTTGCCATTGCAGAAAGCAAAAGAGTCCAGAGAGAGAGAGAGAGCGAGAGAGAAAAGAGATGGGGTGTTCAAGAGGAAGAGAATTGAATAGAAGAATGAGAAGGGAAAGAATAACTGATTCTTGGTAACTCCAATTCTTTATTGCAGGGTGGAAATAAAAAAAGCTGGGTTCTTTGCTGTTGTTTGACTTTATTGAGCATCAATTAATAAACTTTATTTAAAAAATTAAAGTTTTAGAGTTGGGTTTTGTTTGATTGTGATGAGTAAGAGAGCACTTTGCAAGAGAGGCTTTCATGTGCTAATGAGAAAGGATTTTCTCTAAACAGAGTGGCATGTTTTTCTTTTTTTTTTCTGTGTGATTTTGCTAAGAATGTAATGTTACCTTACAAAGGTAGAATGTTAGTCTTCTTTCCTATCATTCTCTGTTGTCGTGGTTTTGTGATTGTCTCTATCTATGTCTCAATGATCGTATGCATAAGATAAGAGAATTGAAAAGGCACAAAAAAGAAAATTTAATTAAAGGGACTAATCTTTTTACTTTGATATTTTTTTTATATCGCCTTTTCCTCGCGGCGGGAAAGTTCGCCGTAATGACGTGAATCGCTACGTTCGCGGCAATAAATCGGCTTACGCTGTCCAATTCGCAGATGATACTATACATGTCTCTGTTTAGGCTTAGAAACTACACAATGTTTTTAAAAAATTGATATTTTGTTTTAATTCAGATCTTTTTATTCAGTAACATATGTTTGATAATGAATGATATCATGGAAATGAACTTAATGGTGTGAAGATTAAATGAGATAGGTAGCAGCATGAAATTATTAAAATGCGAGTTATATATGTTTCTTTTTGAAATGAATTCTTGAAAAGTAACTTCAAATTTTTCATGTTTCTAATTAAAGAGAAATCATTGGTAATGTAACTAATTTAAGTTTCATTCAGACAGAAAAATTTAATAGTTTAATGTTTTGTCTTTATATATTTGTTTATAATTTTTTAAAATAAATATAATTTATTTATATTTTTATAATTGATGTAATTTTTATCATAAATTTGAAATAGTTTCTCATATTTTGTATTATTTTATTTTATTTTTAATAATTTTTATGTGATGATAAATTATTTATGATATTTAAAAAATAAAAATAATCGAGATGTTAAAATTTATAATAATGTATGATTTTATTTGAAAATAAATTGTCAAAGAATAGTAAAATTTTAAGTTTCAAATGGACCTCCCTCATTTTTCTTAGTTTTGAAAATTTTAATTAATAATTAGAGTATATTAAAAAATAATTAAAACGCATTGTTAGCCTTCTTTCAAATTATTAAACTGGGTAAATTTATGGTAACGGTGGGGTGTGACCTAGTGGGGCATGATCAGAAAAAATAAAAATGTTATAAAATTTGGGTTTAATTAATATTTTTGACTTTATAGAATAAGTATGCTATAATTTCAGTTTGTGTAATTTTTTTAATCTCTTTAAATTTGTTGTGTAATCTTTATGAAATGTGTGAATTTTTGTTTTCATTTCTATAAAGTATTTATTACTTTTATTGTTTAAGTTTTGAAATCATTAATATCGATTCATAACATTTCATTTTACAGAAAAACAAAAAACATATTTTTGAATTATTTATTGTTGACATTGCTTCAAAATAATAGTACTAGTTATACCAGTTTTTATAATTGTTAGACTTGATTTTTAGTTTAAGACAAACATTTAATAAATATTATATAGCAATAAAAATAAAAAGAATAATTTTAATTTTAAAATAAAAAAAAATACATAGTGAAAAGACTAACCAAGAATTGGACTTTTAAATTGAAACAAACTTATTTTATATAGGCTTGATTTTAATTCTATTAAATTTAAATACTTTTAACAGCCTCTATTTAATTTTTATATTACCAACGATATTGTTTTATTAATCACAAAATTTTATATTTCTAAAAATATAAATATTAAAAGTAAGATAACAAAAAAAAAGAGTCACGTCATCTAATTAACAAAGTTAAACTACAGTAACTAAACAATATAAAAATTTTAAGTACTTAACATATAAAAAATAAATTAATAAAAATTCAGTTAAAAATACACAAATTTATAAAAACTAAAACTTAATTATGTTTTTTATATACAAATATAAATACATAAACTTATATATTTGTGTAATAATTTACGTAAATTTGTGTTACTTAAATTATCTGATCTTGGAATAATTAAAACTAATACTTATACTCATATCTATTCGAGTTTAATAATTCAAACATATATACGAATGAGATAACATTAAATGATACTTAATATTATTATTCAATGATATAATTAATCTCATTCAAGTAGTAGTAACATGTAACGTCAAAACTTTTATTATGATTATGTGATATATTATTTGATGATACATGTTTATCTTAGAATAATGTTTTTTATTTTATTATGATTTTTTTCAGTATACTAGATTAAAGATTTATGTTTATTTCTCATTTTATGATTATATTGACTCAAATAATTTTTTTCTATGCACTAAAAAGATTAAAAGGAATTTCTTATCATATGAATGAAATTGTCATCGAAATAAAGAACTCCTATCTAACAAAGTGGTCAATATTTTCAAATTGTTTCAATAAAAAGAATCCAATTGATATTTTATCTTAGTATATGATTGAAATGAAAATTTCATCATAATTAAAGTTAATAAAGATGTATTGAAATAAATAAAATAAAATAAATAAGAAGTGAAATTCAACACAGAGAGTTATGAAATTTAGAATTTCAAGATAAAGAAAGTGGTAACCGAAGCACCGTGATTGGCGTAACTATCCCATTTCTTAAGACGACTGACATCGAAAAGTTATTAGGGTTAGACAGTTACAACAGCAACCCTCTTTTGTGTTTGGTACATAAACACATCATGGTATCACATGAAGAAATATAACATAGAAAAACAACAGTGTTTATAAACCTGTAATGTGAATTAATTATTTGAAAAAATAAACATAAAATATAATTAATGAGAACGTTGTATCCAAAATAGTTCAGAAGAAATGATAGGGTGCCCGTGACAGGCAAGAAAGAGGGGTCTCATTCAGTCTGATAACGTTGCTATGCATGCAGCGAACACAAATAACTAGTAAGCAGTGTGCCAAATCAGAAACAACCCTAACGACAACTTTTAAATGTGTACAAAGAAATTTGACCCTTTATTCCACCGATTTTGTCGCTAATCGCAGGGTTTCCCGATTCACTATGTTGTCTCATTGGCCTTCTAATATTCATTGCTTCCAAGGAGATGAACCTTCTGGCTACTCTTTTCAGAAAACACAACAACATCACGTGATCACATATGAGTTAATTAACTCACCAAAATTCCATTTTCAGGATTAGTTATCTTAATTAAAGATCTTAATATGTATCTTCATGTTAAGTAATGATCACAAATCTTAAACACATTACAAGTTTTTGAATCTGTTTCGTTCTTTTGAACTGTTATTGGTATCTGATTTCTCTGGTGAAAATATGGTAAGGCTAAGTTTCAGTGGAGGATTGAAAAAAAGTTTTAAGTGTAATAGTTATATACATAGATAATTTGAGAGAATAAGTTGTATTTGAAAGTGATCATTATTGTATTTTGTGTAAGTTATATTAATAAGTTTGCTTTATAAATATTATATCATGATAAATAATTCTGTTTTATTTTTACACATATTATAAAATAGACTTATAGGTGATGATATGGATTAATTTTATCTTAAAATATTTATATAAATTGAAAGTTATATAAAATTATATGATTGGATGCACACCAATGTATGTATAGATAAGAATAAAAAAACTGGTAACTGATAATAACAAATTAGTAGTATATTTATGTATATTATTATTATTTAATTTAATTATGTAATTTAATTTTATTAAATATATTTTTAATTATAGTATACAATTAATAAATTTTTATTATAAACGTTTTCGTTTTTTTTAATTTTTATAGAAACAAAAATTAATATTTTCAATTCTTATAAAATGTTTGATATTAGGTTTAGTTCCTATACCATAATTTTCTTTGATTTTCATTCTTTTAAATTTAAAATATACTTCTAGTCCTTGGTATTAATTTTAGTATAAAATAATAGAATTTGGTTTAAGCATCTTAAAAGTTTAAAAGTTTGTTATTATAACAATTTTAAATAGTTATGATAATTTCTCATTTTTAAGAAATAAAAGTAAATAAATTTATAAGATAAAAAAAACTGGTTATAATATAACTTTCTCACCAATTATTATTTTTAAATATCTCAATCATTTAATATTCAATGCACAAATAATTTAGTTATTTGAATAATTAATTATATACATTAGAAATTAAAATATTATAAATTTCAAAGTTGATAAGAGTTACTATTACGTAAATTAAGTATTTGGACAATTTGACACTCATCAATTTAATAATTAAATGCAAATTAAATTAATGATATTTTGATTTAACTTATATGACTAATTTAATGGATTAATTGAATGAATTAGTTTTTTATATTTGATTCTTGAAAAACTGTGATAAGATTATTTTATTAATTATTGAATATGTTAATTGATCTTTTATCTTCTTGTTTGACATTTTGGTTTAAATTTTCAATTTATTTTGAATCTTTAGACCTTTAAATTAACTCTTAGCGAAAGAATATTAAAAATTAAATGAATATGTGTTATGTGATAATCAACCTAAGATATACTCTCTATACTGTAAATCTTAGAGAAAACTTACAATGTTTTATCTCTTTTAATATATGGCTCTAACCTAGTTAATATACACAATTAATTCATAATAAGTTACTACACAACAAGCAACAAGCATGAGTGTAAGTCATCCAGAAAAATTATACAATACCACAACTCTATTACATTTCATTTCAACACTAAAATTCATAATTTAACTTAATTCATAATCACTTCATCAAACTTGTAAGAGAATTTATTAGGAAAACACAATACAAATAAGACATGAATTCACTATACACAAAGAATTAACACTACTTCCAATCAAGATCTTACGAATTTACGAATCTTTTTATGGTGTTCAATTTTTCCCGTATCTATTCAATGTGAGATTAAGATTTATGTTTGGATTTCTAACAATCTTACCCTTAAGTGTGAATTCTTTCACATTAGTACTTTTCCCTCGAACGAAAACATTTTAAACCACAAGTATCCTTACCACTATTTTCGTTCATCATGATAAGGATATGATTTTCTGATCCTATGTCAAGAAGACTTTAAGGTTTGTGGT